AGTATTGGATGTAGCCATGCGAGGGTCGGTTTGTCCAGGAAATAGGTGTGTTAGTGTAGGATAGTCGAAGTCATTGGTTGCTGTTTCGCATAGTATGTGGTTATCAGGTATTTGGACTCTTGCACATTGAATAGGGTTTTTTGGAACATAAGCCCAACTTTGTAGCTGCGATTTGCAGATCCTTTCCGTGCCGCAACTGCGGAAGATCTACGACGAGGGTGGCGTTGAGGGCTTAGCCATGCCAAGCTGGCTTGGATTATGGGGCTTGTTTAGCTTGTTTTAGATTGACACCTCGTTTCGGGGTCCTTGTATGGAGGTTTCAGAAATCTCTGGTTCGTAATCATTAACTGGACCGTAACTATTGCAATGTCGTCTATCTCAAAGCTTAAGGTTAGGATGGCTGCGCCCCGGGCCATCTCTGCTGTGACGACAATAGGTGGTTTCACATCTTTCATGTTTTGACACGTTCTTGCGAGTCTCTTTCTGTTGATTCCACGGGTATTTCAATTGTTGATAGCTTTCGTTAGTTCGCATTCTCCTGACTTTGGCTTTACTCTACAACTTAAGTTGACCCCGGCCAGGAAAGTCCCGGCGCTTCGCAAAGGACTTCTGGAGCCCGAGCGCGTCCTGAAAATGGCCCAGGGCATTAAGGCCCGGAGGGTTCGGGCTCTGGGAATCTTGAGGGTTTACGGCTCAGGCTTGAGTTTAGGTTTAGGAGTTTAGGATTTTAGGACCTTTAGGATGAGTGGTAATTATGGGGAGTCAAGGGCGGCTATTGGCCAGCGGAGTTTATGTTCGTTTTGTTTGTTGTTGAGGAGGAGGGGGAAGGGGTCGCGCAGTGGTGGTCTTTGCAGGGTTCAGAGCCGTTTTTTGGAAAGAATTTCGGCATGGGGTACTTTCTGGGAGGACTTGACTCCGGAATTCATGCATTCACAAAGGACCTTCTTCAATGAGCTGCGTGCACTTGTAAGGTAACAGAGGGGTGTTCAACAACACTTTGAATCCTTGGCCCCTAGACCTTGCAAATTGGAATTCCTTTGGGTGGAGTTCATTCCTCTGAGGTCTGCTTGCAAAATGTGGGTTCATGCAGATGTTAAATCGAAACTTTGCCGGGGACACTAGCCTCTGTATTTCTCTACATCCTCGAAGCTTCATACTGTCAACTCGACAAAATCTGCTCTATACCCTAAACCGAAGACTTTGCAACAAAAAGTCCCAAGCATTATACTCTGGACCCCACGCCGAAATCTGAAACCTTGGTGTCTCACGCAGACTCCGACAAAGCAGCGAGAGAGCCTCTTGCTTCGTGCCGTCCCCAGCGCCGGCGCCAGTTTCGGGCGTGGGGCTTTGGGATTTACGTACGGCTTTAGACTTTAGGGCTTTTAGGATTCAGGGATTAAGGCTCCAAGGGTTCGGGTTCTACCGGGTTACATGTAGGCCAGGCAGGGTCCGGGTGAGGGCGGGTCTTGTCATTCAGCTCTCTTGGGGTCAAAACTGGCAGCAGCATCTGTATATGGTACTTTATGAGTAGAGCATGATTGTATTATTGTGATTCGGTATTTAGACCTCGGGTCCTGATACAAAAATTGTCACAGGTCAACAATAGGAAGCCCTAACCCAAGACACACCCCACCAAGGACATGTAGTACAAGGCTTTCCGAATTTTCAACCATATCAAATTCCAAACACATGCACTGTCGAAAATCGGCCGCCTTCTACATGCACCGTAGCTGCCAATATGAAGCTCTGGCAATTGAAATCCAGAGCACAAGACCATTTTTGACCGCATCTCGATGCCCTGCCCCACAGCCTAAACCGTAGAAAGCACAGGACCCTCAAAACAAGACCCCCCTCCCTCCAAGAAAAAGCACAGAACCCCAGACGTCAAGACCAGCAGTGATAGGTGTTTCGGAAAGAAACTGAAGGTCAGGAGCCACGGGAGAAGACCTTCCGCCGGTACATGGGCAAGAACTCCATTCGACAGGCGCAAGCGGGTTGCGGTAGAGGGTTCTGGCATTCAGAGTCTATAGGCGCTCAGGGTTTGGCGGTGGGTTGAATGGATTGGGTTTGGGGGGTCTAGATTTAGGCGATTTGGGAATAAGGTTAAGGTTTGTAGGCGTAGAAAGAGGGCTTGACTATAAATAGTTATGCTCAATGCAAGGCTGTGCTGCCGCAGCCCACATTCCAGTTTCGAACCGAGCTTAAGACATCTTCCGTGATGAAATGGCGATGTCTTACCGCACGAACCCTCAAAACTGCTCCAAAGTCTTGAAAATCCCCTTTGCCTTACGTAACAAAAGCCTCCTTACATGCTCACTACCAAAGTTCTCAACCCGAAGCTCTTTTGTCCTATGCCCTCAAGCTTCGAAGCCGACAAGTTCCCTAGACCAGGTCCTTCGCAGAATCACTGACTGCCTTAGGGTATGGCCCTGGTCTCAGCCCGTCTTCCATGTCCTTGCGGCTTGGGGATGCTTGGGTTTCATTCCATGGTGATTGCTGAGAGTTTTAGCATGTTTTAGCGTTCAAGTGGCGTAGGCCTCTGGGGTTGGAGCTTGTCTGCTTTAGGTTTAAAGGCGATCTTTGCAGACCTTTAGTTTCCATTGTTTGGAGTTGAGTGACCTTGGGGTTTGGAATTTGAGCTTGGGAGTGGCGGGCTAAGCTGATGTAAGGGTCTGTTGAGTATCCCCGGAGGCTCTTCGTGTTTCCATTGGCAAGTCCTCTGAGCAGGTGAGGGTTCGAGGTCTGGGCCGGTCTAGGGTTTAGGGGATCTTTTTTGGGTTGGTTGAGGTTTGAGGTGGCGGGTGGGCTCCCTTTGGGCATTTCGCCTGGCTAGAGCAATGCAAAAACGAGTAAATAGCTTGAATCGAACCAACCCACATGACACCTGGATCGAACATCCGATGTTGTCTTTCTAGTCGGGTTTAGGGTTGAAGCTATCGCTTTTGAGCATTGCGGTCCGAGAGGCATACTCCTGCCATGTGCGGAGTATTCATGGAAGTATGTTGTCAACATCAAGGCACAACCCTACATCGAGTCCACTTTCGTGTGCTCGGCTCATGCGATGCTCGGATTCGGGTTGAAGGTCAGTAGCGTCCGAGCATAGGTTTAGGACCTAGTACCTTGCTAGGCTTTCCCATTGCTAACCCCTGAAGCTGCAAGGTGCTTCAAGAGCAAGGAGAGCCTCAAGTTTCGCAAGAGCGCCTTGCCTGCTGTAGCACTCCGAAGCGCACGTGGAAGGATCTTCAGTTGCATTCCGCCTCTTCCCAGAATTATCAACCCGTCATGACGTTGTGCTTACGTTCGTGCTTGCGAACGCCAGTACTTTAGGAACATAGGCGGCATGCAGCAAGTGATAACAATCTGTGGATGCGGTAAAGCACCCGCCGCTAAGACACGATCTACGAAGAGTTGCCGGAGGCCGTGGCCATGTTTCTAGGGTTTGCCATCTGAAGGACTACCGGTTAGACATGTTTGCTGAAGCACAAGGCACCAAAAGGCATCAGGCAAAACATCCTGCGCAGATAACTTCCTTGAGCCTTAATTCCAACAGGCCCCATGGTGTGAGGCACCCAGAGGCTTAACCCACAACTCACCAGAAGACAGACAGGGTAAGTCGTATATGCAAAATCCTCGTCACCTCATTACGTTTCTCTGTCATAGCTGCGAATAGGGTAAGTTACCAGCACTCCCAGAAGCAAAGCTGTTCACACTGGACATCGCACTACGCCTTTCCAGTGCTGCTTCAGATCATTGCAATCTCGTATCGCATCTGGAAAATACATCAGCATGAACCCTTGAGCAGAGTCCGAACCTACGTCGAGACATAAGATCCAAATTATGGAGCCCCCTAAAAGACTGATGTCTGTAAGCTGTAGAAAAGCAACGTCTAATCAAGCAGGATTCTATTTTGTACTGGGTTCCATCTTCTGTATCCTTGAAGCTTATGGATCAGGCTTTACAGACAAATTAGACGCCTTTCCCAGCATAGGCACTGCTTGGACATGTCTGAGCATCCAGGCTTTTGAGGCAGCCGTGAAGATATGGAGTCAGTTATCCGGAAAATGCCTCCGCTAGGGCCGAGGGCCAAAAACCAATGCGTGCTTTGAGCTGCTTGAAGCCAGCCTTCTGAATGGGAGTTTCAAAAGAACCATGAGACCTTCATCTAAACCCGAAACAGTCGGACACTCGTTTTGATGACCCCTTTACAGATTGAGAGTCCCCCTCCACCCACCAACACCATTCCGAAGTCTGCCAGATCGCTGTGTTCGGGCGCGTGAACTCTGGGAAGTCAGCCTGGCGCTCGACAATGCCATGCGTCAGTATTCTCAGTAAAGTCATAGTTTTGATGTATAGCTTCCCGACGGAATAATAGCTGTAATGGCACATGACTATCATGATGATGCCAGCAAGATCGACGAGGCTTCAAGTTCTCGGCAAAAAGTCCTAGAAGCCCATGCCTGCATAGATGGCTTGTATGCCATTATACTCATCAAAGCACTAATTGCCGAAGAAACCACCAGACCTAAGCCGAAGCCGCTCTCCAAAGAGACCCGGCAAGGCCCCAAGTGTTGTTAGGCTTTGGGTCATGGCTATGCTCGGGTAGTTTCCTGAATACTCGCAAATAGCCTGCTAGCCGCAGAGCAAGGGGTGGTTATAAGCCATCATCCCACAGAAGTATGCGTTAACACCTGGCGATAGCAAGGAAACTGCAAGTACAGCAAGCCGTGTACTTAAAGAATCCGAAAACACTCGATGAAGGTTGTGTTTCTCGGAAATGACTCTGCTGAAGACCCCGTATAGTTTCAAGCATCCTCCCAATGCTAGGGCAGAAGCCTTAATCTCCAAAACCCTCAATCCCACGCACCAAGTCTTCAACCCCAAGGCCATTGGGCCTTTAGAAGCTAAAACGCATTATGGAACCCTCAAAAGACCACTTCAAAAACCCTAGTATTATAAACAAAACACAAAGCCCTGGCGCCATAAACCCGGGCCACCTCGAGGCGATGCTCCAGCACCTCTTCAGCGCGACAAACCCTAGAAGAAATGGCCGCTACTTCAGAGAGAAGAGCCTAGCAGGTTTGAGGTTTTGCGGCTTCAGAGCAGGATTGAGGTCTGGCGGTTTCGGTTTTTGGTACAGTTTTTTATTTTTTGAGGCTCAAGAGTCAAGAGTTCATTGAAGTAAGGCCAAAGGTATTTAGGGCTTGGAGTTCAGGTGTTCAGGGATTGGTTCAAGTTAGTTCTGGGGTGTACGGATTAGGCTGCAGGCTCAGGGTTTTAGGAGACGGTGTTAGGTTTTGTTCGAAGTGTTGAGATTTGAGGTCGGGGAATGTGATGGGATCGAGGCTTGTAATTGTAAGATTGATGCTGCGGCGTCAGACCAAACTAGGCGGCCAGATCCGGTGTAGGGGAACAGGAGCGGAGCTGTTCAAAGCTAGTGTTATGATCACACACTCGCCTTGACACTTGTGACGAACTCCTGCACCGTTCGGTTTGAGCAATATACCATCCATAGCCTGGGGTAGGGGACGCAGGAAATAAGCTCCCTATCTAAATGCAGCTCGCTCTGAAGCTTCTGAAACCGGGATCGTTGTAACCCCGAAGCTTGCCAGGCCAACCTGCTGGGCCTCAATGCCATGCCTGGGTTAGGACTATCTGGGGCCCGTGACCCAAACTCAGAAGAATCCAAACACCCCAAAACCATCCCTAAACCCTGAAACCGAAGCCGGAAGCCTCCAGACTTAAATCCTGGGGCCTCTGCCAAATCCTCAACCTGAGCCCGAGAGCCCTTGGTCAAGTCTTGGAGCTGGGTCCAAGCCAGGTCACCAGGGGTTGGGGACTGTTGGGCTTCGGGCTTTCGGGAGTTTCGGGCTATGGGTTAGGGGTTCAAGTTGAGCTTCTCAAAACTTTAGGCACTCGGAATCATACTGAATCGTGCTTGCACATAGCGGCGAACCTTCCACTGGAGGCCATTTTTCCGTTGCCCAGACCCCTGGAAAGACGAAGGCATGTTTGGCTGTCGGGGCAGTTCCTGTTTTCGGATTTGAGCTTGAGGCATTTTTCAGGCTTGGAAGGTCAGCTTTTCTGTTTGTAGGCCGCTTTGAGAAGAACGCCATGTACAGGGGCTTGGAGTGCAAGGTAGTGTGGAGTCCACATCGGTTGAAGCATTGCCGGGGGCAACGAGGATTCTCGTGAGCCTAGCCCATGAAGTTACAAGTTATCCCTGTCGGCGGCGCCATTCTGAAGACATGTGGGTGGAATAGAACTTGCGCATATATACCCCTTGAATCCTACACTCGGAGCAGCAATTCCTGAATCCTCAATCCCCAAGTTCTACCGTTTGGGGTTTAGGGTGTTCGGGTTCAAGGTTCATGGTCTGAGGGTTTGGCTGTTTGGGTTTAGGATAGCATTCGCCCCCAGCCCTTTGCAATTCTAACCTGCTAATACAGGATGCCCGCATGCTCGCTAAGCATTCGTACAGCGTTTACTTACATGAAAGCTTTTCAGCCTTCAAGTCCTAAGCTCTAAGCCCTCTGAACCTTGTGACCCCTCAAAAAGCCTCAGACCGAGCGCGTAACACCCTGAAAGAACCCTGCAAAGACGCTTTGAATTGCCCTGCCAGGGTGTCCAAGTCTACTGCCTCAACCGCCGCTTTACGGTTGCAGATATGCCGGGTTACGGCAAGAACGATCGCAGACACGAGGCTGAGGGGAGGGCTGATATGGCTTCTTGTTCAGGATTTGTTGGCTGCGGGTTGGTGAGGAGTTCAGAGTAGTTGCTTGGGCTCGGTTATGTAGGGTGGAGGGATGGTCTGATTGAGTCATCCGAGGCATTCCTGCTTGATGTTTCTGCGACGATAGTGATGTGAGGTTGTGAGGCTGCACATGCTCAGCACCTAGCATCCCAACTCTTACATCCTGCAAACCCTCGCAGGTCGCGCACGTAAGTTACACAAGGGCTTTGTGTGTGGGGTGGTGCGCCAAAAAATTTAGCTAGAAATTCATGGGTCCGTAGAAGCGTAGAGTCACTCCTGCAGGGCCAAAGAGACCAATTCAGATACCGGTAGCCGCTCATGCATGGACTGCAGTCTAAGTATGCAGGCCCCTGTCTAAAACTCAGGCATCGTGTGAATTCTCTAAAGAGTTCAGAAATCTTTGCTAAAAGTCATGAAGAGCTTTTTCTAGTCTGCCGGAGCGTGCTTTACACTAAGGTTTCTGCGAATGTCTGGACGGTTGTTGTGGCTGGTGGCGAGTGTATATTTGCGTTTCCTCCTGGAACCAAGCCTTATTTGATTCATGTGGCACTTCAATCCTGGACACCAGTGCAGTATCCTCCGATGGGGGTGATGGGGGCATTGGGGTTAAGGATTGGAGCCCCAAGAAGGCGCTAGCAAGGATATGCCTGTACCCTGCGACTCTCTGACTGGCTTCGCGTACCAGGCCTACACTATCCTTTGTGTCGTTTTGTGGTCAATATATTAAGACGATTCGCAGCTGCTTCTGTAAGACCCCCAAACCCACAAGCCTGTAAGTGAAAATCGTCAACTAAACCCTCAAGCCGACATCTATACCCTGAATGCAGGTGGCCCAGGAAGTCCACAACAAGTGGGATTCCCAATGGAAGCCTTTGGTGGAGGAGGGCTGCCTGTTGAGGGTCCAGGTAATCTTCTCCGGTTCAAGTCTTTGCGGGTATGTTGGTTTTGAGGTTTCGGGTACAGGGCTTAGGTTTCGGGCTACTTTAAGCCCTCGGATTCTGGGTAGGATGGGTATGAGCCTGCCTACGCCAGTAGATATGTCGCACGTTCTCTCCAGCTATGACTCTACTGGCTAGAGCAGTTGGACCCTGAAGCAGGTGCCACCTAGGCCTGTACAAGCCACTTGTGGAAGCCGGGAGCCTTCAAGACCCACCCCTGCCACCCAACAGTCTGTGCAGGAGTACCTCAGCACCACGCACTGGCTCAGGGCCGCCATCTACGTCCATGACATCGCCAAAGATGCCCGCTCCTGAGTTTGATTGAGGGTGCAGGTCTTTAATTAGGATCGAGAGATTCGGCTACTTGTCCAGTTGTCCCAGATGTTGTTTCAGAAGACTTTGGAGTCTTTGCCGTTTCATTTGTCGAGCTGTCTCCGGTGGATGAGTTGGAAACATGAGAGAAAATTGATCCCAGACTCTGTCAGGGCTCAAATTCCGGTCCGAGCTTCTGGACCTAGCTGGGAGTTTCAGACATTTAGAGTCCCTTCCGGGCCCGTCTATTGCAACCATCCCTGTTCTAGACAAGGATCTTAGGGGGTATTGGGCTTCCGGGTATTGGACTGGAGGCAGGTAGAAAAAACCTGCATTACTTCAGGTGGCCCTATTGCCTGAGTCACCTGAACTTCCAAAGCAACTACTGCGGCAACCCGACACCCTGTGCCTCCAAGCTTTTCCGGGCGCTGCTCACAAGCCGTATTTCAAGCATGAAAAGTTGGCTAGAGATCGAGATCAATCCATGCATATACGGTATCATATACATGTACATATACATACACATACCTCGAAGCCGGAAACAAAGTAGCCTTGAGGTGACCGACGAAGATCTGGAGACCCTGAACATGCTAAAGTGCGCTCTGGCCCGCTTTCACCTGCCATTCAGGGCCGTTTACGCAAAGGAGCTCCCTAGTCCCGACCTGTAGGCCTGAGGCTTCATTTGGCAAAGGGTGTTCAGTTTTGTGGCTTGCGTTAGTTTGGTAGGGATTCCTCGAATGGATTTAGGGTGTCGGTTTTGGCTTGGATTTAGTTTATGGGTTATGTGTCGGTTTTGGGCGGTTAGGTTTAGGACTGAATGCTTGCGCTTCCGGTTGCATCCGGGCGGACAGGCTCTTTGGAGTTTGGAAGTGGACCTGTGGCCAGTTCTAAACCGTGCCCGCGGACCGTAAGCTAGTAGGCAGTAGGGGGCTCTAGGTTTCAGAGTGTGGACATGAGCCTACCGAAACTCATATAGCTTTCGCCGGGAGATGCTTCAGTGCTCATGGGCATTTGGCAGTAGGTATGGTAAGGTTCTGGCTTCTGGCAAAGTCTGTCAGCATCTACATTCCCTGTGCCCCTAAGCCCTGTGCACTGCTTTCGTACCCATGAAGCCCTAAACTTAGAACAACTCCGCCAACCCCCTAAACCTTCAAAACGACAGGACTCCAACACTAAAGGCCAACACAGAACTTCAAGTTTGACAGGAAGTACGGCATCCCGACTTTGCTCGTCTTCACTAAGGACGACAAGGCTGTGTTACTTGTCGATCTTGGGTTGTCACTATTTCGAGGATCAGTGCACGTCGCAATACGGCTATACGGCTATATGTTTTTGCCGTGGTTTAGGCTTAAGTCGAGGATTTAGGGTTATATCGGCAAGGCGATAAGACGTTGCAGGGCCTACACCTCAGCACAAGAGCAAGTAACCTGTATGTAAGCCCAAAGGTCAACATCCCTTACGGGAATCCAGATTTGGAGCCTTTGGGGAGTTGAGGCGTAGGACCCCAGCTCTTCAGGCCCCCTGAACCCGAAGATCCACAACCGTCAACCCCTGCCAACAGGGAAGGCTGTGTCTGTCTGGTAGGCCCCGCAAGCTCCGCAATGGAATATTGCATCCGAACACAGGGCCAACCAAGAAATCTGACTGCTGGAGTTCAGTAAATTTCCGAAAAGCTGAACCTCTGCCTGGACCCTAGCCCTGGACGACGGATGTCACAAGTCCGATCGGTGACGACTAAACCGTAAGACCTGAATCCTTCAACCGCACCACTCTGAAGCCCTCAAGCGGCTCTGGGCTTGGGGGCGCCGCCTTGAGTCGTAAGCCTGAATCTGCAAGCCAATTTGGATTCTCGAACCCTAAACCCCCCGGAAGCTGTGGGTGAGGTCGACTCGGAGACCCATCGGCAAAGTCGAACTCGGTACCTCAGGCGTCTCTGAGGGCGAGTTTGGGGTTTAAGAGCAAGGTTTTAGGCTTAGGCATTTTCCGAGGCTCTGGTGTCCAATTGTCAAGAGTCTAGAGTCAGGGCCTATGGGTTCGGGAGAGTGAGTTGAAAGTGGTACGGAGAGACCCTTGGGGCTTTGGTTGACTTGGAGGCCTGGAGGCCTCAAATAGGCCGACGGAAGGATTTGGGCTGTAGGGTTGAGGGTGTGTGGACCAGGCTTCGGGTTGAGGGTTTATATACAAGACCTTCATCGGTTGCTTGTCGCACACCGTGTGCAAAGGGTCAGGCTTTGGTTGTAGAGCGGTATGTGTTTTTGTGTTTTCTGTGTTTTTGCGGTTTCCCCTCCCGTTACCTTTAATGCTCAGCGAGGAAGTGTACACCATGTTCCAGGGGAAGGCGTAGGCCGTTAGCTATGCTCTCATTGCCCCAAGTGCCTCAATCAAGTCTGGCAGATTTTTGCAAAGTTCATACCCCCCTACAGCCCTACCAGTTCCTACCAAGACCGCCTAGAACCTTCACCCACTACCAGACCTTTACCACTGCCCGAGTAAGACCAGTAATTAACCCTACCGGCCTGCCTTTGCACCCCAACCCATGAACTATAAACTCCGCTGCGCGAGCATGCGACGAAAAGAGCTGGCATGCGCCCTGCTGGTCAGAGACTGTACCCATGTTTCTGAAGCCTCAGCTGTCCGAAGGTTTCAATCCTTCAGTCAAGTCTCAAAACCTTCATGCACGAAAGTCCCCTCAACCCTCAACCTTAAACCGGACCACTGCCACGCTGCTACGCCAATAGCATAGCACCATAGAGGCAATACTATAGTAGACTCGGGCTGTTTGGGGGGGCAAGGAATACAAAGGTTCTCTTTCGGTTTCTTCCACCCTATAGGACTATAGGAAAACCAAATCCGCGAGGCAACCAATACCTTCAGGATTGCCCAAAGGACCCAAACTGGCGATCGTATTAATTCTTGTTAGTGGCTATTTCCATGTCATAGAGTGACAGTCTTCTGAAATTTCACAGAACGCCACACAGTCCCCGCAAAACCTACAAAAGGCTGCGAGACGCCACAGAGCAAGCCGACCAAGTAGGTTGGTTCCGAGCCATGGAGGGAGCTCAAGGCAGCCCACCGAACCCAATCCCTGGCGAAACCGGGTCCAAGCAAATTAAGCTGAGGTCTTGGGGGGCAACTTTGAAGATAAGACTTAGGAATGAGAGTTTCGGAGGTTTCAGATTTATGGAGGAGTTGGTGGAATCTTGGTTCAAGCCCCGAAGGCTTCGAAATGTTTGCAGGTTTGGGAACTGGTGGTTCTGGGCATGGGAGGTGCTGGTCTAGGGCAGGATGCTATAGTTTTGGGAAAGGTTGACACTAGACCCCGAATGGGAGTTTGCATCTCTTCGACATCTGAACCCAGCATTTCAGCTGAGGAGTAGGATGCTTTTCGTAAGGACGGTCAACTAAGGTATGCCAAGTTTCTGCAAAAGCGAGAGCAAATCCAATACCCCAAACCCTGCACCAGGAGGCCAGATTCAGGATCTCATAGGTATATCTGAGGCTCAACGAACCCTAAAAACGGCACCGACTGTTTGATTATGAAAAAAGCTTGTATTTTGCAGGCTGAGGCACACACCAGAAGTCTTGCAGTTCAGGGTGCTTGGCATATTCAGGATGTTGTCCATCAACAGATGCGTGGTGGCTAGGCCCACGATACCTGACATATGTGCCTTTGAGCCTTAGGGTATAGGGTTAAGGGTCCAGCAGATCGTTTCGCTCCTATGATTTCGTGGCCTTGTATGTACGTAGTTTACGATAAGAAGTAACAATCGGCATATTACCATTGCTTTTAATTTGCTATTCCAACTCACTGTTTCATAATCACAACAACTTGTAGCACCGGCCGAGGAAGCACCCCCTTTCATCTGGCTCCTGGTCCTTGCGGCCGCCGCGCTGTGGTGGTTATGGCCATGGTTGGAACGAAACTTGCCTTCGACTGCTACAGTAAACGTAAGGGTCCAAGTGCCCAAAGCTTTAGGTACTTGCGCTTACTGTAAGATTGATAGGGTACTTGTAGGCACGTATTTACGTGAGTACATGACATGAATGTATTCGGACCCTCACAGTAGCTGGATCCTTATCTGCAAACCTCAATCCCCAAAAACTCAAACCCTAAAACCCAGAGCCAGGGTTTGTGAATTCTAGAATCTGAGGTGGACGATCTGAAGTCAGTGGTACCGGTGAGAGAGAAAGAGAGAGAGAGAGAGAGAGAGAGCGAGAGAGAGAGAGCTATATATATATATATATACACACTTTTTTATTTATTTGCTTATTTATTTATATTTATCTTTATACTTTGCACATACACATACATACACACGTGTCCACGTTCTCGTTTATCCATGTCTTGTCTTGCTTGATTCCACAACTGACGGCCCGGTACATGTGTCTACTGCACTGTACACCGCAGATACTTTCACATCCTGCTTTTCACGATGATGGTTTACATGTGCATATGCAAGGATCTTTTCTGTGAGCTGCATTTGCCAACTGTTCATCGTCAGCCTCTGTTGTCGGACCACAGAAGAGTCGACTAGCGAATGGCCGCTGACTGTGCTTTTTAACAGCGGCTGTTCTGGCACGTTCTGAAGGGTCCGAGTGCCCACCAACTGAGTATTTAAGTTCAGGACAGTGGGCGTCGTAGGTCACTATCTGGGGCAACTATGATTACTAGAATTGGACCGGTAGCATTACAGACCTCCACAGCCCAATCATCAGACGGAGGCTTCTAAAGAACTAGCGCTCCTCTTTTGGGAGAGTTTTGGGAAACCCTGACTTTGTTGCTTCCCTAATCTTTGACAGTTTACCGTCCGTTACACGTTTTTGGCCATCACAAGTTTTCTGCATGGAGGACCGGAGACTGAAACGTATGTCATAATGGGGCTCTCTAAGCCGGAGCCCAAGGATGGCAGCAGGAGCGTCAAGCACCACCCCCTCCCAGCGCCGAAGAGCGAGCAGCTGCTGCTTCGATTCTTGCAGCCGGCATCAAGGGAGAGGACAAGGACCAGAGTGAAGCGTTCGCTGTTTTCCAGGTCCGGCAGGGGGTTCTCATCAGCATTCTGTTGTCATGCCTCCATCGCCGGACTGTGCATTGGCCCTCCATCCCAGGTGAAGTTATGTCCTTTATGTTTAGATGGGCTGGCTTTCCTTGTGGTTCGAAAAGGACCATTGCTTGTCGCCCTGGCAGAGAACAAATGGCTTAAATCTTACAAACTTCCGTTTGTATGACAGGATTCATCATTTCGCAAAAGCACCTATAAAACAGTCTTCGGGCCGGCAATAGCGGTAACATATCCCCATATGAGCCGCCAATATCCGTTCTTAAAGCCCCAGCCAGCGCGGCTCCGCGAGGAACCGGAGAGCGACGTGGACGAAGACCTCCTGAGGCCGGTATTCGACGTTCGACAGGCTTTCTTTGCAGCTTGCTTTACAGAGGTTTTATAGACATCCTGTATTGCAACGGGATCTGCAAAGGATTTTGTGCTGGGGATGCATCTTTGCGTATGGACCAAGGCAAAGAGACGAGTGGGGACAGAAAGCGATCACCGTCTGACCCGAAAGTGCGCACCGCTACCGAACGCAGATTGCCTCTTTGCATCCTGGGTTCTGTTCGAAGTTCGAAGATGTCTGGAGCAAAGTCATTACACTTATAACCGGTCGGAGCTGACTGGGCATCGAGTTTAGGGAAAAAGAGATCGTTCAGGGGTAAGGGCCCAGGACATCCCATTCATCTTTGCAGGCCCAACCCAAATCCCCTAAGCCCAAAACTGTTAGACGCCTTAACCGCTACGCGAAAGTCCCGCAAGCTTTGGCGCATGAACTCCGAGCCTTTATGAACTTACCAGGATCACACTAGCACTGTCGCAGCATCTTGCCATACGCCCGATTTCTTTCAATGAGGCATCGGTCCCAACTTGTCCTTGCAGTGTGCCTTCATTTATGTGCCTTAGTTTAAGGTTTAGGTGTTTAGGGTCCGGGGTTCGCAGCATGTGGGATTTCGGAAATCGGAAACACCTCAGCCAATGCCCGCGCGAGACCTGACCTGGGTTTCGATCCTCTGGCGGTCTTCCGGGAAAGCTATGCTCAAGCTTGTGGTTTGATGGAGAAGGCGCCCTGCTTGTTGCTTGATCTGTTGGTGGGACATACGCATTTATGCAGAGTCGATACGCGTATATTATACATACATGCTTGTTCTGCCTCAAGTTCACTAGTTAAGTTAATTAACTGGTTGTCAGGCATTTGTGTGTGCAAGTGAGATGCCTACCTGTTGGAGGGGGCATAAGGATCCCACAGATGCAATCCCATCGAACTGATTTGTCCACTGCCTTCACAAGCTTGTGTGATGCTTTCTTGGGATCCACTGAATGCGCTGGGGCACTGAACTTGGGATTTCAATCGCAAAGATCAGGCTTCAGGAGTTGAGTCAGTTGATTGTGGCGCGCGTGTATTGTGGGACTCTAGGCTCCGAGCCCGCCCTTGACCAAGAAAGCATAAACCGACATGCGGGATGTACTGCGGTTGCGGTGTCCAGATCGTGCCTTAGCTCCAACAGCCGAAGCCTTGCAGACAGGGGAGTAGAACCAAACATCTCTGTGCTCGAGAGGACCAACTCTCAAAAAGCTTGGGGTCCTGAACCTTCAACCCCGAGCTCACAAGCCCAAAACATAAAAAATGTTGAGCCCTGGCCCCAAACCTTCCAGCCGAAAATTCTACATTCCCTGAAGCCCAATACAACCTCTGTAAAGTCCTTCTGAAGCCGATTCAAGCCCCACAAACACCTCATGAAGCTTTTGTAAGCCTGATCCAGCCGGGCTTCTGTGGAGGTTTTGGAGGTGCCACCCTTGGGGGAGCAGTTTACTGCTGCAGTCACGGGCCTCCACGCCATCGGAAATATCCTGGACCGTCTCTTCCAAGCGACTGGGTTTCGCAAGCCTAGGGTATTTGGAGTTCTTTGTGATAAGGTTCAGGCTCAACAATTGAGGCATTCAGGGTTGGATTTGAGTTTGGAGTGAGCAAATTTAGGAGAAACTCCCAGCTACAGAGGTCAGCATGCCTCAAGGTGTTGTGAGCCTGTTATATATATATATATATACACACACACATGACTTACAAGAGACCCTAATTTCGAGAACAGCTTTCCTCCCAAGGTACAGTGAGCGCATGGGTCCTTGGCAAACCCTGAAAGCAACACCTCCACATCCTTGAAGCCCGAAGCGCTGACAGCTTCAACCGAATCTTGAGCCTGAAATCGCTGAAAATTGAGCGCTACAACCCCCTGTAAACCCTAAAGCCCTGTCGAACCCTAAGTTTTTTTGGGCCAAAGTACGAAGGTCCAGGGAATATATTAATTGGAAATGTCGAGAGTTCAAACTTGTCATCTCCCGACCCCATCCGCCCTAGAACTCATAGACCCTGTCCAGATGCTGCGCTCGTACGCGGACTTAACCTCCAGTTTCCCACTAGTCGCAACTGCTTGGTGCCCCCCTCCTGC